TTTACCTGTGTCTTATTGAAGGCATTTGACTCTGTGGATCACAGTTGATAAGAATGGGGATCCTGGAGCACGGCATTGTGTTCAGGCAGGGCCTGTCCCTGGATCAGGAGGCAGCTTGCAGACAGAACAAGGGAACACTGCACGGTTTAAATTCAGGAAAGGTGTGCGTCGGGGCTGATGCCTCTCACGATACGCGTTCAGTCCCTGTTCTGAGCGAATCACCAGAGAAGCTGGATTCTGTGGAGCCGAGTGCAGCGCGGCATCAGGATTGGAGGAAGGCGGTGGACCCTCCTGCGATGGGCCGATGACGCAGCAGCCTCGCCTGCGAGTGAGGAGGACTTGAAGCCCTGGCTGGTGAAGGTCAAGGACCGCAGCCTTCGGTGTGGACTGAAGACCCAGATCCTCCCAGCTGGACCTCTAGGTAACATCAGGACACACGGAGAAAAGATGGAAGTTATCAGGGATTTTGTCTTGCTCGGATCCACAATCTACCAATGCTCACGGAAGCAGCAGTCAAGAGATCATGGACATGACATGACTCAGGATCAGGATTGGCCCGGACGGACCCCACGACACCGAGGCAAAACATTAACGGCGGGCGGCAGAGCAACAGGGGAGCAGAGCAGGGAGCTCCCTCAGGACAGACTCTGAGGCCAGAGCGTGGCACCCCATCGGACTTCACTGGAGGACACGCCTAGAGGTCAAAACTCAGACCTTGACCTATATACAGGTTTTTCTATCTTTTTCTAATGAAAAAAATTTTTTTCTTAAAAAAAATTAATTTATTCTTTTCTGGGTCATTGGTTTTCTTTGTTGTTGCCATTCTTGCGTTCTCTTTTGTTGCTTTGTCTTGCTGTGCCTTGGTTTTTGGGGCAAATATTATCTCTGCAGATCTGTCTAGATAAGATGGGCTGGATGAACAGTCTGGAGGAGAAAACAACGGGACCGATGGTTCCAGGTGACATGGGAGAGGGGAAGGGGGAGGAGGAGGTGGTGTTGACCAACCCAGGGAGAGGGGAGCAACAAGTGATCCAAAACTAGTGGCAAGGAGGGTGAGAGAGGCCTGGTAAAGGCAATTTAACCGAGAGAAATTACTGAAACCCAAATGAAGGCTGAGCATAATAGTGGGACAAGAGGAAAGTAAAAGGAAATACAGGAAAGAACTAGGAGGCAAAGGGCATTTATAGAGGTCTAAGTACAGGCATGTACATATGTAAATCTATTTTTATATGAGGATGGGGAAATAGATCTATGTGCATATATTTATAGGTTTAGTGTTAAGGCAGCAGATGGACTTTGGACGTCCACTCAAGTACTCCCTCAATGCAAGAACACTTTGTCCTATTAAATTGGCATTCTGTGATGCACACCTTCCTGACACGATCACTGAAGACAAAGCAGGTGCATAAGCAAATGTGGTGAAGAAAGCTGATGGTGCCTGGCTATCAAAAGATAATAGTGTCTTGGGTCTTAAAGGCTTGAAGATAAACAAGCGGCCATCTAGCTCAAGGAAGAAGCACACCAGCCTGTGCCACCACGAGGTGCTGAAGGGATCAGGTATCAGGCATCAAAGAACAAAAAATCATATCATTGTAAATGAGGGTGAGTGTAGAGTAGAGACCCAAAGCCCATCTGTAGGCAACTGGACACCCCCTTACAGAAAGGTCGTGGGGAGGAGACGAGCCAGTCAGGGTGCAGTGTAGCAACGATGAAACACAACCGTGGCGTTTTCAATCACCTGTAGTCATGTTACTTGGGCATTGAGTTAGGGAGACCTCAGGAGAAGGGGTGCATGTGCTTTTGAAACTGGCAAAGAATATTGAAAGTACCATGAACTCAGGTTCTGAACACAGTCTGTCTTGGAAGAAGTAAGGCCAGCGTGCTCCTGAGAGGCAAAGATGACCAGACAGGGTCTCACATACTTTGGCCGTGCTGTCAGGAGAGACCCGTCCCTGGAGCAGGACATCGTGCTCGGGAAAGTAGAGGGCAGCGAAGAGGAAGGCCCCTGAAGAGATGGACGACACCGTGGCCTGTGGGGGGAAGTCAGATCCTTGCTGCCAGACTGCTGTCTCATCCCACCACGGGGTGGGCCTGCTCCCTGCTGCTGGGGACAATGGACTACTTCTCTCTGAAGTTTGGGACCATTAGCTTGGTTCCTGTAGGAGGGGTTTGTACCCTACTGATAATGGTTCCTATGGAGACCCAGAGACCACCCCCTAGACCACCCTCTCATTGCTGTGTAGCCTATAGTGCAGCCCCTCCCTGTGATGTATGTCTCTACCTGTAATTAGTGGGCTGGCATGCCCCCAAAAGGTATATAGGTAAGGGTCAGCACTATAGGGTCTTGGACTTCTCTCTCTGACTCTGAGCTCCTTGCTGCTCACTCCCTGGTCACTCCCCTCTCCCTTGTTCCCTTCCCCCTCTCTCCACATGGACCGCCAAGCTGGGCTGAGGTGAGCAATGCTATCGTGTAATGCGTCTGACTGTATTATTGTAATATCTCTCATGCTCTCGATGACTTTAATATAACGCTTATATATCACAACCGTACAATTGTGCATTACTGAACCCAGAAGTAGTATTACTGAACCCGAGTAGTAGCAATAGGAGTATTAGCGGTGGGGGCTGGTCCCCCACCTCCCTCAGCGTCATTATTTTTTAAATTTAATTCTACAGTGGCTGCCACCATGGGCTCAGGCTGAACAACTGTGAGGGGGAACCGGACCGGACCGGACCCGGCGGCGTTCGCTCTGTTGTACGGCGGGTCGCTGTGACTCGGCACACAACCACCACCACCACCACCAGGGTCATTTTCGAGCGAGTGGAAAGACAAACTACGGAATGGGAGAACGTATTTGTAAATTACATTTCTGATTAGGCTTTAGCAGCTATCAAGGTTTGTCAAACACGTAAAAGACCCCTTGCAATGCACCAAAAAGGAAAGCAATACCGGGCACGTCTGTGTTGTTCTCGCTCTCTGAGGAACTCAACAGACAGACCATCTCAAGGAAAAGGGAAACAAAGGGAAAAAGCACTCCTATGGTTGCAAAGCAATGATCCAGGCATCAACTGGTGTGCTTTAAAAATCCGTGTCAAGACACAGACCTATAGAATCCAGAAATGAAGCGGTTTGTTTGCAGAATTCTGAGTGGAAAAAAAAAATCTCACTCCTCAAAACCTCTCTCCCCAGATAAGAAAACTAACCGCTGTTGGTTTGTTTTAATAAGCCAAGCCAGCCTTGGGCAAAGGAGCATTGACGCTCTTTTAAAGAAAGTTGAAATCACTGTTTTACTGACTGAAAGGTCGTGATTCATGGACCTGGTGTCTTAAGACCTAGTTGGTGGAAACCTAGTAAGACGGTTAGAGATGTCGTCATTTAGGACCTGCTGCCGTCAACGGGTGAACAAATTTGTCATGGCAACTACTGACTTGCATGGTTTTAGGTTTGTTTTTCTCCCCCGTTTGGCTTGGTTTGGTTTTTTTATCCCAGCCCATTCTTTACACAGAGGTTCAATCTTCTCAGTATCTGGATTACGCTGGATGGGCTGAAGCAGGAAATGCCACTCTAGTAATCAGAATGTTCGTCCAATGGTACATGGTTTCCTTTAGCGTAAATGCTGCCGAACAGAGGTCAACAAATGGTTTTGTATATTTTAAAACGGACAAAGGCTATCGACTGACAG